TGCAAGCTTTCGGCATATTTATTTTATCCAACTTCACTACCATAACCGTATGCTCGCACCTTACGCTTAACTCCACACATTAGGTTCTGTGCAACATCTGGCTGCAGTTTTTTCTGTACGGAAACCCACTTTTTCTTCATGTCTTCCTCCAATTTGACCTCCTTGGGATGCTTCTGTAGTGCCTGCTTTATAATAGCCCAGTATTTTTCGATGGGCTTTAGTTCCGGTGCGTTGGGGGGTTCATGTTGTTCGGTACGAAAGTGACCCCGTTGGCTTCGTACCACTCCAGGACAACATTTGAATAGTGGCACGAAACTAGATTCGGCCAGAAGATCGTCGGGCCCTCGTGTTGCTTCAACAAAGGAAGCAGACGCTTCTGTAGACACTCCTTGAGGTAGATCTCCCCGTTTACAGTCCCGGTAGTCACGAACGGCGCAGTCCGTTTGCCACATGAGCAGATCGCTTGCCAAATCATGTATTTCTTGGCAAACTTTGAAAGTTTCTCCTTACTTACTTCCTCCGGAACATCAAGCTTGTGCTGGGCGGTAAAAAAAAACAGTAGCCCCGGAAGCTGCCGGAAGTCCGCCTTGACGTAATGCTCATCATTCATGATGAGACAATGAGGCTTCGTCAGCATCAGGGTGTACAGTAGACTGATGCGAAATTTGACTTTTTCGCTCCACAGTGCTTAAATGGTTTCAAATCGGGTCCTGATTAGCCTCCAAAAGTTACAACTCATTTGGTTAGAAACAGACTTCGCACAAACCATTTGAAGTTTACATGTAAATTATTATGGGAAATCTCAACTTTTTGTTCATTGCCTTCTAGTCTTTTTCCATATTGAGCTGCGAAACAGTTCGATAGCCATTCTTATAGAAAATTTTCTCATCTACAACTTTGCTGCAGATCATTTCTATGTAAAACGATACAGGAAAAAAGTTATTAATTATTTAAGAGATTGGTAAACTTATGACATGATCAAGCAGCTGCTCTGTAGGCAACACTGTATTTTGCAGTGTGACATAGTAGCCATGATTTTTGTGTCCTATTCAACGCCCCAGAAACACCAATGTTGCCTGCTGATCAGTTGATTGAGCATGATCATAAGACATCAGCGCATTGAACCATTGCTAACTTTCGATCCTTGCATTTAATCAAAAAATGGTCTTCAGCAAAGTTGTAGCTGGGAAAAATTTTCTACAAGTACAAATAAAAGTTTTTGAAGCAAACCGATATGGTGAATTATTAGATAGACATGAACAAAAATCTTGGTTTTCCCATAATAATTACCATACAAACTTCAAATGGTTTGTGCCATTTCAGTTTCTCACCAAATGGGTTCAAATTTTGAGAGGTTAGTCTGGATCAGATTTGGAACCGTTTAAGTATTGTGGAGCGAAAATTTCAAATTTTGAGTCACTCTAGTGTACAGTTTCCGAGCCCGTGACTTTCCCACTGTTTTTTGACGTTCTTCACAATTTGGAGCCTTCTGCACTTTGTACGTAAGCAGTGCCTCCCGGTCCTTGGCTCTCTGAACGAAAGACTTGGACAGATTCAACTTTTTGGCCACATCCCTGACCGACCCTGGGATTCCGCTTAAACGCTTTCACGACACGCTTGTGATCCTGATCACTAATGGAACATCCATTCAGACCGCATTTCTCCTTCCTTTCGATGCTCAGAGTTTCGAAGTAACGTTAGATTCACACGACTCACCGTTGACTGCACGATTCCGAGTTGTTTTCCGATGTCCCGATGAGAGAGTTGAGAATTTTCCAGGTGCTTGCGCAAAATCAATTCGCGACGTTGCTTTTCGGGTGACGCCATTTTTTCCAACTTTCAAAAAACTGACAGCAATAAAAATACAGAAAAACTACTACTTTTACCCTAATTATCAAGAAACTACTTTTACCCTAATTATCAAGAAAAAATACCCAATGGGTTATTTTCTACAGCGTTTTTTTCCGTGATGCAATTTGATGTGGGACACCCTTTACTGCTACCTAGTATGGAATCCATACATTTCCATACACGAAGAACGCATAGAATCTGTCCAAAAACAATTCATTTGAAGCGCGCTGCATGCTCATCAATATAAAAACACTTAAGGAGTGCCGCCAATTTGCAATATTTTTCTTCATCAACGACATTATTTCACTGCGCACAGATTGGGCAGAAATTTTCGCAAAATTAAACATTTACACACCTTGTCGACATCTTAGAACACGGAATTCATTTTCTGAAAAATTGTGCAGAACAAACTATGCTAAAAAGAGCACAATCAATCGAATGATGCGCCTGTATAATTTGCATTGTGTAGCTATTGACATCACTATGTCCATGCAACAAATAAAACTTAAGCTAAAACTGAATAGAAATAATTCATAGTATGTAAGTAAACATCAATAATTGTATGTAGTCTACATTGGTTTGACGAAATTAATAAAATGAAAAATAAAGGGTTAAAGCAAAGACAACAAATCAAGAAGACTAGCAACTCTTCCATTTTCTCATACGAACGCTATGAGACAGGTACAATCGCGTCATCTGCCGCTCAAAGGATAATGCTTCGAACGAATTTGATAGCAAAGATTAGATCCTCAGACGAAGGGTTTGTGTATTTGCTCATTTTTTTATGCGTAGCTTCCACCTTCACTCAAGCGCAGCGCTACTGTATCTGTCGCTTGGATTCTGGCAAAGTTGCCAGTCTTCTTGATTTGTTGTCTTCGGTTAAAGCAAATGCTTAAGGAAAATCGTTTTGCCCTAGGTTCATTATACCCCAGGAACTCATACTACATAAAGTTGAAATAACAATAAGTTTCTATGCATACGAGAGATACCTAGGGTAAATTTGCCTTTTATGTACCCTTTCCCCTTAGTGGGCCACTTACGGATTAATTCAATTTTACGTGAAAATAAGAGAGATTTCCAGGTAAATTCAATCGGAAGACATCTTTTCGTACTAACCAACATCGGATTGATGAAAAAAAAAATTGGTCAAATACTATTCAAAATATGGAGAAAACACATTTTAATGCAAAACTGCTGCATAAACAAAAGGTCCAAATTAGCGCACGTAATTTTAATGTTTCCCCTAAATAGTGGACCATTAGTTTTACCAAAATATGATTTCAAATCGTTATTGTACCCAATTTATTGATTTTTCCTTGTTAATAAGCTGAATTCTTATGTTGAAGGTGATTTTATTCTAGAGTGTATACAATCAAATAATGGACCTCGGGTGATCTATAAAAGGTTAATGTTGACTTCAATTTGATTTCCGCGGGTAAATCAAAGAAATCTATTTATTCTACGTTTCAGCCACACTAAGCAAAGGATACACTTGCACCTTATTGAAAAACATTGCTGAAACAATAAGTAAACGGTTATGAATTCAGCGTAAATGGTTAAAACAGCTACTAGTGGCTCAATAATAGGCCAATTTACACTACCTTATCATCTTTACACTATTGCTAGAAGCAGTGCTGAGATTTGTCATTGTCATTGACATACTTTCGCGCGATATTATCAAAATTGCTTATCACGTAGTAGTAACTGATAAACTTGATCCTCATAAAAATCTTTGTCAAAATTTCATTACTTTTTTCGTCAATGACAAAGATTCACCTGGCAACAAAACGTTTAATTTCGTGCATTCTGTGTTACATTATTGTAACAGTTCAGGACGTAGATGCTTGTTCACTTCGAAGGCTCCATGTAATTGTTTTGCTCAAGTCATTTAATTATGTTACAAATTTTGTTGATAAAAAATATGCCCATGTTCGTCACTGACAGCATTGTCACTGACTGTTAGCTGACCAAAGTGACCAAAGCTGAATTCACCGTGTATTGTCATGATTTTGCAGCACTGACTAGAAGATCAAATTAGAAAAAAAAAGAAACCCATTCCAGTTCGTTAAAATTTTCCTTTTACGTTTAATGCCATCACTTTTCTGAATTTTCAATTCCCCCTAAATATCCTTCTCCCTTTGTAGGTCGTTGAACTTTCTCCACATCGCATTCAGTTCCACTGCCGTGCTCTTTCTTCCACCCTCTTTATTTCCTTTGATGCTCGTTCACGATATAGCATCGAGTGAGTGCAATATGAAGGAAAACAACGCTAAGCTCAAAAGCGGAAGATTTCCAAGAGGGGTCGCTTTTTGATTATCATGCTCGTTCCCGGCCCCATTCGGTTCGGTCGTGTGCAAAAGCATACCGGTTGGCATAACTCCAGGGGCAGCAACAGCAGTGTCAATTGCTTTAGTACGCTCAACTCTTATCGATCGATGAGGTGCTGGGTGCTGCTGTTGGCTTTAACCTTCCCGTTGCTGCTACAACCCGGCGTATTCCTCCCCTCAGCAGAAAGTGGTTGGCATTTTGGGGAAGCCCTTTTACTACCTAGCGTCGTTCGAGGGTACGGAAAATGTGCACTCATACATTTATAATATCGCCACTGAAAATGGTAGTACCACCCGGAAGATAACTTTTCACTTTCCAGCTGATCGGAAGGGGCTCGTTTGAGCTTGTGTTGGTATAGTAGAAGGGATTTTAGACTGTCGCCGGTACGAACTTGGTTGCAAGCGAATGCCATGAACTTTAGAACCTAGAAAACATTTTGCTCCATGGCAATGGCAGGCGGCAGTGCGGATACGTATTTGTGGTTCCACGTTTCCCGACATCGATGGCAACAGAATAAACTATCGTGTGCTGATTTATTTGAACTGATATCAGTTATGGTACTTTACATGCATGCGTACCTGCCACACCACTGCTGTTTGTTAAGTGGTTTGAAAAATGTGCCGCACCTCGAGTGTTTTATCGATAGAAACGCATCAACGGCAACGGTTGACTAGTTGTAGTCTGTCTACGTTGGACCATATGTATTTTCGAAGTGGGTAAACTAGTGCAGCATAAATAAGCCTATTGAACGCTAAAACCACATCAGTCGCGGTAAAATCAAATTTTATGGGAAATGAAAGACTAGTAGAGTAGGTACTTACCACATACTCGCAATCGTGCTGATTGTCCGAGCTGGACACATTGAGCACCTCATACGATGATCCGTTCATTTCGAGCAGCTCATAGATCAGCACGGCCTTCAGCTGCTCGGTGAATGTGTGATTGGATTCACTGGCGATTATGAAGTCGCGGAAAAACGCCTGACTTCCAGGGAAAAGGTACTGGGTGGAAAACTGGCTCGGAGCCACCAAGCGCTGTCTCAGCTTCACCAACTTGGCTGGGTCCACATTCGGCAGGTCCATCGCCAGCTCCGATGTAGCGTTCTGTCGAATAGGGAAATGCAGAGAAACGATTATCAGAATGACGATTGAGGGAAAACGTAGTGAGCTCCATTAGGCTGGGTTCGATTCCCGGTCCGGTATAGGAATTTTTCGGGTTGAAAAATTTCTCGACTTCCCTGGACATAGAGTATGATTGTACTTGCCTGCCACATAACTAATGAATACCTAATTCTGATCTGATACCAAAATTTGGTATTGATCAGCATTAATAAGAGGTAAAATACCAAAGAATAATACCAAAAAATTACATACAAAATACTTTGCAAATACCAAAAATTGATATTTGGATACCAAAAGAATAATTGGGTGGTATTGTTTTGGTATTGCATTATCATAATTTGGTATTGGAATGGTATTGTGGGAACATTTTTTTGGTATTATTTTTTGGTATTTTACCTCTTATGTCAGGCTCATCCGTACCAATTTAAGGTATCGAGATATTCGTTCCTGCTCGGGAAGCTCTCAATTAACAACTGATAAAGTGCTCAAAGAACACTAAGTTAAGGCCTGATGTAAAGTCCCAGTAGGGATGAAATATTACCAAAAAAGAAGAAGAAGAAGACGAAGAAGAAGCAGAAGAAGAAGCAGAAGAAGAAGAAGAAGAAGAAGAAGAAGAAGAAGAAGAAGAAGAAGAAGAAAAAGTTGGATCTTATGGTTGGTGGAAGAAAGGAAACTTTACTTTAGGTTTTAAGGTGTTAGGTACTCCGAACGTACAGACGAGAAAAGGAAAACATGTTCATTAATCCTAATGTTGGTACCCAAGCAAAACCATTTGTTTCTCAGCGAGTAACATCAACCTTAGTGTGACTATATGAAGGTCTAAATTATGGACAACGCATCGCATATAAAACTTCATTGCACCTTGAAAAGTGCAGAAGGTTGAGTCTCTTTGCAACTTACGTTTGTTGCAAAAGGTATTGCAAATCAATTGTGTGTTACATAATATTTTGATGACACAAGTTGCAAATGAGGTTTTGACTGACTTATCTGTAATGGTTTACTGACATATTTGAAACCGTACAGTGATGTGTTTGAACACATGTGCACGACATTTTAGTTAACCACATAAATGTATTGGACTGAAAAATCATAAATGACAATCGTAGAAACAGTCATTTAAATAAATATATGAAATTAATTGCTTTAAAAAATTGATAACTAGTCCGTTTTTTCAAACGCATCAAGTTTGCAGAAAAATTACAAATTGATGACACAAATTTGCAGCTCAAAAATGCGTAGAGAAAAAAAATAAACTCGCACTATTGGAAAACATTATAGCCAGCGCCATTCCATAGTAAAACGATAAAGTGGTTCTCAGAATTTCGTAAAAATTGGTAGTTTTGTTCCGTAATGACCCATATTTTTTTTGGGGGTGAACATTGCTTGGGTGGTCCAAACATATTTTTTAAATGATTTTTTTCAAAAATTCATAACTGTTGAACCAGTTTAGTCGCAAAGGAGTATTGAGCGAAAACCCAACACTTGATAACTTAAAAAAAAAAATAATTCAACACATCGCTGATTTTTTTAAATGTTGTGCAATAAGGCCTAAATTTTCAACAAACCATGAAAACCATAAAAAAAAACAAATACAATCAATGTTTTTCGATACATTTTCAAATTTTTAGAAGATTATTACAATTTTCATAAAAAAAATTTCTAATTACCTTTTATTTGATATTTTGCCGATTTTAGTTGTTCAAAAGTTATAAATTCTTGAAAACAGTCATTTTTGAAAAAAAACAATTTTAGTCCACCCTAATGACAAAATAAAAAAAATACGGGTCTAATATTTTGCGATACGGAACAAAACTACCATTTTTTCGAAATTCTTAGAGCCACTATATCGTGGCTATGGAATGGCTGCATGTAAATATAAGAAAAATAATATTGTGAATTTATTACTATTTATTGCATTGCAACTAGCATGTTTTGTTATAGAGTAATGACCCGATTTTGTCTGCCCTTCCACGCATCAGACTTTCATCTTTCAATAATTTCACATAACCGTAGTTCCAAATCTTTCTCATTCATCTTCATGTTTGATGTTAAAGGTATACTTTGATGAAATAAGACCACTGAAAAAGCGTATGGACTTCGTAGAACATTGGACAATATTTTCAAAAAGGGGGCTGAAAAAATCGGGTCATTACTGTATAAGCAAAAAATATGGCAACTTATTAGAATAGCACTATTTGACGCAGCTCTAATATCGATAAGTTTATTTTGGGTGACAAAAACAATGGTCTAGAACAGTATGTAACGCTATCTTCATGAAATTCAAAATTTAAGAAAACGACAGTGCTGTGGTTGTTGGTAGTCGACGACTTCTTAGCTCCAAACCAAAAAAAAACGTTTACAAAATAGGTATAATGCAGCAATCCAATCCAAAATACATGTTCAGTTGGAAATTGAAAAATCGTAAAATTTTAAATGGCTAGCGACATGCACATTCAGGGATAAAATAAAAAGGTTATATTTGCATGTTTAAAATGATTAAAATTGTTCAATTTGAAGTGGCTAGCGCCTCTGATATATATATTCAGAAAAATGTTTAAAAATATGAGAAATCTGGGAAAATCTGAAAAATTATAAAATTTGAAATGGTTAGCGCCCCTGGGAAAAAAATTATACAAATATAAATTTAAAATATGTAGTCTGGTAGACATATTCAGGGAAAAAAAAACTAAATTTCAAGTGGCTTACGTACCTGGTAGACAAATTCGAGCAAAATTGAAAACCATAAGTTAACTTTGAAATGGCTAGTGCACCTGGTAAACATGTTCAGGTTAAAATGGAAAAAATCTTAAATCGGAAAAAAATTAAAAATTAAAAATTTGAAATTGTCTGCACCCCTGATCATTGAATTTTTAAATGATTTGCGCCCTTGGAAGACAACTTCAGGGAAAAATTAAAAAATATGTAAAATTTGAAATGGCTTTCGCCCCCGGTAAACATTGATTAAAAGGTTAAAATTGATCAAAATTCTTAACATGATCAGGGAAACATTTAAAAAATAGTAAAACCTTGGAAGACAAGCTAACGGAAAAAATAAAAACACATTGAATTTAAAATGTCTTGCGCTCCTGGTAAACATGATGTAGGAAAAATTTATGAATAATATTGAATTTAAATAGTTGCACCCCTGGTAAATATGATCAGGGAAAAATTCAAAAAATAAATAAAATGCTAGCGCTGCTGGTAAACCATTTCAACATAAAATTGATAAAAATCTTTAAATTAGAAGTGTCTGGGTCAGGGAAAAACTAGTAACAGATATTTTTTGTTTAAATGGCTAAATAAAATATGTTTCATTTGAAATGGCGCGCTGATAAACATTTTCAGGGAAAAAATTATCATAATCGTAAAATTTGAAGTGGCTAGCGTCCCTTATATACACGTTCAGGAAGAAAGGAGGAAGGCACGAATCGGGTTCATGATCTCCAGAGATACCCCTCACTATCCATCCAGTAACAGGGGAGTTTGGTAAAGTAGATGATCAACCCGAATCGTGCCTTCCTCAAAATTGACCTTTGCTTGCTTTCTACTCTCTATATACAATTTTAACACTGCTGTACTCTAACGGAACTATAAACTCTATACATTCATCTCCTCATCTATCGTATAAAACGACAACTTTAAGACTGATATTTGACGTTCAGCATCTCTAACTATAAAAAAAAAGATAAATAGTACCACTGAACTGTTAAGAAGTTCATCCGGTTGAGGTTAACCACGAACGGGGCAAATCCTTATTGGAGGTAAGATATAAATTTTGACATGAGGATGCTTTTAAAATCCTTTCACGGTGAGGTATGGGAGAGAAGTTCGGAATCATATCAAAAAGCTCGAAATCACTTCGAAAAGTACTGAATCACTTGAGAATCATTCGGAATCACTTTGAAAAGTAGCTAATCACTTCATAAAAGTTCGGAATCAGTTCGGAAAGCACTTAATCATTTCTGAGAGCACTGAATAATTTATGAAAAGTTCGAAATCACTTCAGAAAGTACTGAATCATTTCAGAAATGTTGGAAATCACTCCGAAAAGTACTGAATCATTCCAGATAGTTTGTAATCACTTCCAAAAGTACTAAAAATCATTTCGAAAAGAACAGAATCACTTTTGAAAAGTTTGAAATCATTTCTGAAAGTACTGAATCACTTAAGAAAAACTCGAAAATTCACTTAAGAAAAACTCGAAAATTCTTCGGATAGTATTGAATGACTGAAGAAAATTTTTGAATCTTTTTGTAAAATACTTAACCTACCTAGAAAATTTGTAATCGCTTCAGTAAGAACTGAATCACTTCACAAAACTTCGGAAAGTACTGTATCAATTCTCTCAAGTTTGCAATCCCGTCAGAAAATATTTAATCACTTTTGTAAAATAGTAATCCCTTTGGACAGCACATAATCATTTCAAAAAAGGTCGAAATCTCGTCTGAATGTACTGAAACACTTTAGAAAATTTCGGAATCAGTTAGAAAAGTACTGAATTACTGCAAAAAAGTTTTAGAAAGTACTGAATCACTTCAGATAGTACCGACATAATTTAGCATGAGAATCTAATCTGTGTTACACAGGGTCGGACGTGGTCTCTGGATCTCAGCAAAGGCCACATTTTAGTGCAATTTTATTCATAATTATGAATTTAAACCCAGCATGAATGAGAAAGAAACAAAATGCAGCTTGAACCATGTTCATCGAAAATAGTTAAAGCCATTCAAAAAGCAAGTTTTGAAAGGTTGGGCAAGCCTGAAATAGATAATACTCTATTTGAAACAACGTCACCGGGCGGACGCGTCGTTATTTTAGGCAAATTTATATTTAAGGGCACAAGTCTGTATTGGGTGCGACTACTTAGCTCAAATTTTAAGAACACAGCACTGAAAACACCTATTTCTAGAACGCTCTAGAAAAAGCAATACAAGTACTAAAGCTTCATTGAAAATTTCCAACTGATATGGCTATCAGTTTTGTCTTTCCTAATATTAATTTCTAAGCCACTGTGCAAATTCAAAACAAAGACGAACCATAAAGCGCATATGGGATGTTCGTAGCACTCCATCACGCTAAATCATCCCCCAGCAGATAAGAATACTTACGTCAAAGTTGCAGGATTGCACAAGCTGTGCCGTGAAGAGCTTCGCCAGGTGAGCCATATTGATCGGGTGCTCCATGATGGCTAGCAGCGAGCGTACCTTCGCACCGAGCTCCGCCAAAAAGTTCCACGTTGGGTTCAGATGTTTGAAATCCCACGTCCTGTCGGTGGTCGTTTGGAAGATGAGCATGAAAGAAGAAGAACACAAAATAGAAAAGAATAACCATTAAGTACATTGCATCCACAAATTAATTAATACGATAAGCTGGAACAGAATCGTGATACGCGTGGGGGTTGCTTCCATAGAGAAAAGGAGAAGGTGCACCTATTGGAAGAAACGTCTTGCGGTTTTTAAGGGTGGTTAGGGATGGGGGGAAAGGCCATACAATGGGGGTGGAAGAGCATTCCGCTCTCTGAACGAGTGAGTGAGCAAGCCGGAGCGGAGATTAATAAGCGAGCGCCATTCTTCCATCGTCGCCCGAGGCAAATCACATCGTTAGGGCGTAGACATAGTGGAAAAGCGGATTACGGTGAGGGATTACAAACGTTTAAGGCGGAGGCGTTTTCGCACCTTTGCCCGTCGTGTATTATGTTGCCAAGCAGTCAGCCACGGGAGCATTATGAGAGGCTTGAGTTTCTGCATAAAAGCACCCAAGCGGCTGGTAGTAGAAAATCGGCGGCACGGTTGGTAGAGTGGTAGATAGCTGGTTGCTTATTTCAACAAAGAATAGCGCCATCGTGATTCGCAGCGATGGCGCTTCATTTTAAGAGTATTGCGATACCTCAACATCTTTCGTTTATTTAGGTTAAGTAGGAGTGACGTTGTTGGCAGCATTATTTAGTTATTAGTTCAACGTGAAGCTGCTTACTAGTTTGTGCAGCACTATGTACATGAATTTTAACAGTGTTTCATTTCTGGGATAATATAAAGTTTGCGCGGGACTTAAATGAAGTAGTTTTGAAAATATTCTTGCAAAGGAATTTAACCCACAACTGAGCACAATGTGCATGAAAGTTTCACGTTTCTGTTTGAAATGTATATGCGTGTTTCAATTTTAAACGATTGACATGAAGTCTTCATGCATGACAATAATAATAATTATTTTTCAACCCCTGAATTTGTTCCACGTATGATGAGATCTGATCCTACTAACACATATAAAATATCGGGTTAAGATCTTATTTCCTTCATACTAAGCACAATTCTCAATTTACTTTTTCTCACATTCGGGTTTGAACAAATTATGAAATGTTTCTATCAAAGATGACTTCTAAATGTATTACGTACTGTTAGATTTTATAAAGGGCAACACGTTATTCACATAATTTTTCTGACTTTCAATTTGAATGTGGTCTTCAGAAAAGTTGAAGCTGAGAAGATGCCCTATAAGTACTGATAGCAAGTTTGTCATTTATAGAGCATTTTCACGCCAAATAGGATATCGGTTGGAGATGACTATCTTCGATTTAAATGAAACTTTGCTCATATATTGGTTGCAGTCCCTACGTCCATGATCACGCCTGAAACAAAAAAAAAACAGGACATTAAATTTGAAGGTACAGCGCACAACATGAATTAATTCGTATGTAAAAATAATGTTTTTTTCACAAAAAAATTTGAAGTTGAAAAAAAAATTTAAAAAACTTTATTTTTTTCGACTTTGTTTATAAAAAAACATGTTATAACAAACAAATCTAAAAAATCGTTCTATTCATGTTGTGGAGAATTTAATTATGAACATAAAACAGAAAACCGGAATCGATTTGAATGAAAACTCTGACCTGTATATTGCACGGCGATTTTGAAAACACTACAAACTCTGCAAGCTCAATGTTTTTCGCCCCTACGGAGCGAGCGTTCCAGTTGGCGATCTTTATGGGTTCACGGTCCATAATTAGCGACGAAGGAGATGATAGCTTGGAGCTGTTGTGTTCTTGTTGCGCAGGTGCGCTTGATGATGATGGCCTGGGCCAACAGTGTGACGATCTCATCCGTTGACAGCGGAGAATCGTCTGTAGCTTCACCGGTTGTACCGGCCAATCCCGGAGCAGGGGGATCCGTCGATGGGCCGGAGGCTTGAGTGGGTACTGCAGCGGCAGCCGACTGGGCAGCAGCCAACTGTTGGTTGAGCGGGAGCGGCGCCAACACTGGAATTGGCCGTGGTTGGACCGGTGATAACGGAGGAAAGTTCTGCGCGTTGTTTTCCGGGACCTTCTTGCGACCGGGCTGGTTGTTGGACGAGGCCTTCTTCCGGATCTCGGCGTATTCGGCCCGCTTCGGACAGGCCTTACTCGTGGCCTTGTGGGCAGCACCGCAGTTGGCGCATGTGGGAGCGGCTTCCTCGATGCTGTCGCAGTCGTCGATCTTGTGGTTTTTGCCGCATTTGATGCAGCGGCTGGCCATGCGGCAGTTCCTGGTGCCGTGCCCGAACAATAGGCAGTTCGAGCACTGAGTGACGCCACGGTGGGTTGGCTTATACCGCTCCCACTTCACTACGATGTGGAACAGTGTGCGTGTCGTATGGAGATCCTTCACGGTTGTGGAGTTCTTCTGCAGATGGACCAAGTAGAGCTGGTCACGATACTTGATGGCCTTGCTGCGGGTCATCTTGTGGATTTCGACCGGCTTGAGGCCGTTCGCCTTAATCTCGTCCATTAAGGTGGTGGTGTCCATGTCTTGGAGCCCGCGCAGCACCACTTTCAGCGGCTTGGTGGCCTCGACGTCGTGGGAGAAGTACTCCAGCTTCATCCTGTCCAAGAGGGCCTGGACTGCGTTGTAGTGATTTTCGGCCGAGACCATCAGTTTGTAGCCTTCCGTGCACCGTTGAATGGTGCAGCGAAGGCCCTGCTTAATGTAGAAATCCAGCTGCTCCCATAGCCCGGGAGGGAAGCCCTTCACATAGAAGGGTGGCAACTTAACTTTTTTAGGCACCGTCTCAGGGTCCGACTGCGGCTGGGCTCCGTTCTGCAGGGCGGAGAACGGATTGTTGCTCAGCAGCTTTTTTGCTGCCGATGCGGTGGCGCTGATGTCTTCAGGTCTGGGTCGTTTAGTTCCGGGAGGCCCCGGCTGCGGGTCCGCAACGCCTGTCGGGACGGGCAATGGGGTTTTCTTCTGCTTCTTCTGAGCTGGCTCGGTGGTCGCGCCGTCTCCTGGGAGAGTCTGTTTTCCCGATAAGCCGGCACTCGCGTTACCGCGCGATTTCTTACCCATGGCTGGGTCAGCGAGAGCGTCACTATACAACGCGGAGCTAATTCGACTTGCGAACGAACGAACGAAACTAGAGAGAATTCAAATCGACTGAACTGCTCAACAGTCTGGCAGCGAATGAGCAGCGCTTTTTTATATCTCTGCAGGATAAAGCAGAATGATGTGCAACCAAGTGGTATAAAAGCTACAAAGACTCCTCCCATTATGAATAGTTTGCTATCAAGTGGCGACACTGGCTCTTTTCCTTTTGCGTACACGCCGAATGAGAACGACCCAAATTTGAGTTTAGTTCACTCATAATCGCCAAAAGTGCAGGAGCTCAGCGATGAGTAAATTTGTCTCATGGTTTCCTGTGGAAAACCTAAAAATTCAGTCTCGGAGTAGTACCAATAGACTGAGTGAATCCAATCTTTACTTTCTCAAATTCGGGAATTTTCACTGGAAAATCCTGGAAAACCCTAGGAAAACATGAGGCAATTTTACTCATCGCTGAGTTCCTGCACTTTATTTATTATTTCTGATATAACTAAACTCAAATTAGGGTCGATCTCATTCGCCGTGATATCACCTTGAAAGATATCGGCGCCGGTGGTTAGCGTGATTACTTCTCACCCCAGCAGGCCTGGGTCCAATCTCAGTCGGCGCCACCGGCATGTTCTAAGGCATAACAACTCTGATCACGCCTTCCTTCGGGAAGTTAAGCCGTTGGTCCCCGGTTGAGTTGATAGGTCGATTGGTAGGGTCCAGGTGGGAGCGTCGGTAGCATTGGAGCTCAGTACGGAAAACAAATCTTGCGTCACTTTTCAATAGGTCCTATCTACATTGATCGATTCTCTTCATCGACACTCTCTTTCGTAAATAACTCGACTTCACAAATGTTTCCTGCCGTCTTCGTCGAATTAGATGCTAGATTGCTGCTTCTTCCATCGAAAATATCCGGCCGTGGCGACTTAAAGTTGATCAAAATAATTTGTACTCCTGCTTCCAGTTTGATTACATGAGCATTTTGTGTGGTCGTTGGTTCTGAATATGGACAAACAGGCAGATGAATTCTATTCCTACTCTTTACTGTAATAAGCTTGATGGGCCTGAAAAGAGCCGTTTTGTTGCCAAAGTTGACCCCCGAAACCAAACAGAGTGCGTCTCTGTCAGTTCAAAACGTAGATGACATCCATGGCCGCTTACGCTTGGCGTGTTTAGTGTAGGTGACAGCATCACGGATCTTATTTTTCAGGAACACCTTCAGCACACCTCGCAAATCAGACCGGAGATACGTCAGATACCGCCACGCCGAGGCAGACGACGGATGGTGGTTATCTCGAAGAATTTGCGTTTGGTTCTGAATATGGCGATGAGTGTGCAAAATATTACGCAATTCCATCCACCCTATTCGCACGCGCCCGAGAATCGGAGGCGAATACCACTTCGACTTGTTTCGTCTACTTACTACTCTCTGACGACTGTGCTGGGGAAGCAGCATATGCATGTACGTAATTGGTGGATTTGTTAGTTAATTCGACGCTTTTAGACAATGCTGGACATTTACCAGTTTTTCAATAGTTTCTTGTTGAAAATCAACATTCGGAAGAATTGTTATCGATGTGTAGCCATATTTCTAATCGATTGGTGATAAAATTATTGAAATTGGACCAGGGGCAGCTGAGTTATTAACGTTCAAAATCTTTCTTAATTTGTTACATGTTCCATTTTCGGTTTTCACAAAGTGTACCCCCATATAGATATCAAAGACGTAGTCCTACGTCAAAATACCAACGTTGTGCTTTAAGACCCCAGTTCATATCACAGCGCCAGCTCTATATGTCTTTTCAGAGGGGGAAATGAGTTGAAATTGCAACAGTGCTTCATGACACCGTTATTTGCACGAGTGTATCGATGTAAGAGATCCTATCATTTACCGTTTTCAAAAATCATGTAACCTATGACTTGAGGTATGAAGCAAAATTCTAGTCGAGTTGCCTAAAGTTTTCACCGTTTCCGGCAACACGGTCTCATCCCTTGTCGTCATCGCCTTAAATATGCATGAGTAACGTATGTCGCGACGACGCGAGCCGAATTGCCTATCAAAACTAAAGTGTAAATTTTAATAGCTCTATCATGATTCCGTAATAATTTATTACCGCTTCGTACCCACCATCGACTCGGCTATGATGAGCAGAACTCGATAAAACGATGAACCATGCCGCATAGAGACGACAAACAATGTTGCGGGTCGGTAGGCACAGTCGCTACCGGAGGACGTTTACCCGATTGTGTTTAGCGCGGATTAGGAATGACTGAATGGAAATCCTTCAAACAAGCTTAACCCTCGCCTTCCCATGGTGGCACAGGTGATCCACAACTTTTCGGGCCGTCTCATGTTTGTCAATCTACCATTAAATAGTCAGTACTCATTGAAGCTTCCCCGTGTGCTCATTATTCTCATCCATATATATTCTTGAGAATTCATCTGAGCAACTATTGAAAAACAATTAAAATACTATTAATTTAAAACAAAAACTGTTTAAGTGGATTTGATATTTTTGATATTGACATCCTAAAACAACGAAAAAGCTTCTGGGAAAGAAAGGGTTACTGTTGAAACGAGCTTCATCACGGCGGCGCTCCTTTGGGTCCCGATTTGTGCACCGCAAATTTGAGGCGGTCGTTTTCTTTTCTTTACCGTGTGCCTGACTACCCACTTTTGCCTACCCGGCTGATTAATTATTATTGAATTGACGTTATAACATGATAATACTTGTGTAGCTATGCTGTGCCGAGTCAACTAGGTCGGACGAAATGAAATGCTCTACTAATCGGTCGGAAAATTAGCGTGAGCTTAGGTTGAATACTTGATTGATTAGGCAAATCGGTTGCTAATGGAGGACACCTTGTTGAACATGGATTAAGATGGAATCAGTAAATTGTTGAAAGAAATCGACATTCCACTCACCTATAGATCGTACAGAATGCATCCCGTTGCTTCTTGAAGGCACCGAATTCCTTATCCGAAGGAAAATGTTCCTTAGTGTCCGCCTCCTGCTGGTAGAGTACATTGCTGCCAAAAGAAACATTCGACAATTTTGCCGACGCATCCAGCAGCTTCTGTCCATTGCTATCCAGTTGAAGCTTCTGTCCGTGAATTTCTTTCAGATAACCGTGAAGATATTGGTTCAGGTTACAGATTCGCTCGTTTTCGATAAGCACCTTGAGCGTGGTGCTGTCGAGTAGTGCTAGAAGGGCTTTCTGGCGGTTCAGTACTTCCATCGCAAAGTACACGCAATTGTTGAGATTCTTCAACAGGTTCTGGTAATCGATTTCAACGTGAGTGGGTTTGGTGTAGTCAATTTCGACGGCAACCAATGCGGAATCGAATGGATCGAATTCGGTGTTAATTAAATTGATCAAATACGATAGCTCCGACAGGATGTTTGGCGTAAGGTTAAGGTCGATAAGGAGCGTGTAAACATCTACCATGCGATTGATTGGCACCGGTTGGGTTACGCGACTCAAATCGATTCGAATGGGTGGCACATTCAAACATTCGGACATTATTCGAGGCGTGTTGATTGTGTTTCGGAGGGCAGCGTGAAGCTTTTTGCTCGTGTCTGGGTTCTGCTCTTCAACGTTTTCGAAGTTGCTCTTAATAATGTCTTTGTAATTCCGCAGCAAACCACGTTCGTCCTTCTCAGAAAGGTCCAGCTCCAAACTGTCTTCGGTTAGGTTAATCAGATTATTATCCGACTTGAAGGAAGAACTGTTGAACTCATGTCTGTTGGAAGACGACCTGCTGAGGATGGTTGGAGCAATTCTACGCTTGGACTTTCCTTCCACTGGACTGACGGAATTATCTAGCTCAAAACTGGATGCCCCTAATCGACTAGTGAGTGTCTTACTGACCGTGATCGGCGTAACACGTTTTTTGCTTCGATTTAGCTGCTCATTTCCGGGGGTCGACGACTGCATCGAGGCTTGCAGCCCCGGAAAGTCATTCTCCAAGAAGAGCGAGTTCACTTTGCCGCTAGTATCTTTACTGTTATTCGCTGTTGATTTTCGCGATTTCGATTTTAACGACGAATGGGTAATGAAGTCAGCCAGGCAAGGTGAGCTAGTCTGGCGGCTCGTGTTGGTGTTGCTGCCAAAGGATCGATCGTGACTGCGGCGTGAGTCATAGCGTGAACCGTTACCCGTCACCGGTGGAACGTTGCTGGTAGTGTTGGGCGTTGAGCAATCCATGGTCCAAGAGTTACGTGAACCTTTACCGGACCGATGGCCAGGATTGACGATTGGAGTGCTGGTGTTGAGTTCATGCAAAGGAGGTTTGGCATTTTGGCTTCGGTTGGGAGTATTACTGGTAGGGAAGTCTCCTTTGTCTGGCAGTAAATTGTTGATGGGACTAAATGGTGCGTCGATGAAAGACGTGGCAGTGGTAGCTGAAATAGAGAGTTAGGACAAATTGAGAAACAATAAATCCCAAAACTAACTGTGCAAGCTAATGTAGGGTAAATGTTGGCTTCGGCACCCATTGACTGTTTTCGGCAACCAAAATTTAAACGATAATTTCACTATGTTTTCCCATCAACACACTTCCCTGAATGTATTCAAACGATTCTTTAGTCTTTCAGCTTCAATCTGATTATATTTGTACGACCGAGCAATCCTATTATGCCAGATTTTTCTTCAAATGAAGTATACGCACTACAAAATGGGGCTGATTTCGAGTTGCCGATAATAGAACAGCTGGTTAACACGCAGTTCTAATGGGAAGGTTGCCGAAGAAAAAGAGGCTGCCGACAATAGTCACACTCACCTGAGAAGTTTGGAGCGTTGTAAAATCGCTTTCAAACCGGTTTGAAAAATTCTGTCGATTGGAATGGATAGAGAAGCAAGCAGCAGATGAATGTTAACAAACAGACACGTGATATATGTGCGTAACGCTGACAAAATGCTAATAGAAGTGCGGACGCTGCTTAGATTGACGAGAATACGTAAATTCCCCTATATAGAATCAAAGAATTATCAACTTTTCCTTGTCATATTCCATTATACTGTTGCTACTAACTCACTGCAATGGTACTCAAATTACCGTGAAACAATTGTACCAGTCAGTGCCACACGGACAGATGATTTACCTCCCTCTTGTCTACTTAAAGTAAATCATTTTTGATCTCATTTCTACTGCGCAGACCCTTTCCTGATCGTTACTAAGCGCAACAAGAAACAGAGAAACAGACCTATTACAGAAAAGGGTTTACACTTACTTTCGTTTTCAATTCTTTCGTAACTGCGTCTGGTGATATCACCCAGTCCAGCTGACGATGATGAAACAGCATCGTCGGTAAACGATCCGACTGCAGCTGGCCGCTCCGATTGTGTAGCAGCTGCCGATGCTGCGGCTATGGACTGCGATTGATTGCATCCTTCACCTGCTGGTACAACAACAGCAGCAGATGCAACCGACTTTGCATCGTGGTCAAGCTTTCGAAATCCCGCCTGAAAATCATCTTCCGCGGTCGTTGACGCCGTGGATCCATCGAATAAATCACGCGAGATCGATCGTCCCGGTAGGGAGCGGCTTCCGGTTGCGTGTCCTTCCCGACCACTACTATCATCGGTGGTCCCACCCGTATCGCCTTTCAGACAGCCGGACGTCATCAGTAATTGAGATGTTCCCTTCGTCGTCGTCGTTGTTTCATGCGGTGCTGTCATGGAAATTGATTGCGATATGGGTACATTGTTGACACCGGCGTTGGCGTCGGTGCAGGTCGGATCGGTTGTGGATGTGATTGACAGCTTCCTATTGCGAGCGCTGCTCGCTGCTGCTGTTGCTGGGAGAACTTTCTTCGGGGTATCGCATACCGATGGAGGGCATTTGGTGAAACTGGAAAGAAAAGGAAAAGGGGAAAAAGTAAGTTGTTGTAATCTGTGTTAAGATAATGTTATATTTTGCATTCGACCTCTTGTATCAGAATGTATACTGACTTTGAAATGTTTTGCAATAATTTGATATTTGGATATAAGCGTTCTGGATAACATGTTTTGACAACCATGTGGTCGAGTTATCAGTAATCATAACAAAAATGAGATCATAATGGTATATGAAGGATGTTAAAAAGATAACAAATCAAGCTTTCTTGTTAACAAATCAATGTATGCGTTTTGGTGTTTGTATTTTTATTAAAGTTACGAAAGTTAAATAACAATATTCGACATTTTACTAGTATAAGTATCAAAGACGAACAGGATGAAATCAAATTTTAAATCGATTTGTAAATTCAATCCACAGGTAGATTACTATCAAAAATAATAAATTGATGTTGTAAAATAACTGTAATTGTCTTCGTGTCTACACCCTTGACCCTTTAGGTCTAGTCCATATGAATAACTTTACCCAAGAAAAGAAAGCTTTAAAGAACCTCACTCACGAATAATATTCCATATGGGCGTAAAATTTTCAAGTAACATGATTAAAGGGTGGAACGGTAAAAAATGGGTCAATCATGATTAAGTGCACACTGAATATGTTATTGTATAAACGATCAAACTTTATTTCTTTTTGAAGGTCAATGACTACAAAATACACGAAAATTATTTGATTAGGCTTCCAATTTTCCAAATGCGAACTGTCGGGCTCGGGCTTTACGTTTCACACCTTCCATCAGATTTTGTACCGTTGTAGTATCAAATTTATTTGATGCTGAAGTGTTTCTCATTTCCAACTGCTTTCTGAGTTATCTTGAGGCTCCACTTAACGATTGCGCAATATTTTTTTTTTCAATTGGGAGCAGCTCCGGCGAGTTTGGAGGGTTTTTGTCCTAGGGTACGACTTACACGTTGTTGGCGGTAAAACGTTTTTGAGCCATTTTCCCGTAGTGACAGGAAGCGAAGTCTGGCCAAAACAGTACGGAACAACTGTGGAAACAATCGTTTTGCAAACATTTCTTTTCATAAAAATCTTTGTTGACAATGCCAGTTGATACGAAAATTTAGATTTTCAGTCCACAGGTGCAAATCGTCTGCCAAACCAAGTATTTTTTTCGGGAACTTTGACAACTTTTTTCTGTTTAATCTTATCTTGAACCTTTCCTTTTCCGGTCACCGTGTAAACTCTTGACCTGCTTGAAATCCACCTTGAAGCATACTTCATCGTTCATTATAACGCAATCAAATTTCTGACGCATTCAATCTACGTGAGAATAATTTGAAAGCTAAATTTTGACACGCTGTTCCTCTTACTTCCACGCCATTTTGACAATTGAATAGAAAATGGCAAAAACAAAACAGAGGTATCCTACACAATGAGAGGTGTTCAAGTTTTTTGAATGCCCGATTAAAAAAAATCGCCAAATTTGAATCGACGAAAATTTGAACGTTTAAACCTCTAAAAGGTGTCCCCAGTTAAATTGCATCACTTTAAAAAAGCTGTTAAATTTTGCCCTGTGGGTTAATTTTAATGAAATTTCGGGTGTGATGGCCTCAGCGTGTATTGTTTACACTGCGTGAGTTTCATTGTGAAATTTCTAGTAGTTTTGAAAATGGAGTCAAAGGAACAGCGCGTGTACGAGACAATTTTGCACACTCACCTCAAAAACCCACACCTTTTGCACCGAGCCATCGGAAAAAAAAGGTTGGGAATCCAACAATCTGCTGTTTCTCGTGTCATAAAACGTTTTGGCGAACGTTTAACTGTCGATCGGAGGCAAGTGAGTGCAGGAAAAAGTGTTTCATACCACAAGCGAGTGGTTCCTGCCTTCAAACGCAAACCCAACTATTCCGTTCGGGATGTCGCGAAAAAACTGCACCTAACAAAAAGTTTCGAGCAGAAAGCCATGAAACGAGCAGGACTACGTTCATTAAAGGATCAGAAAGCACTCAACCGCAATGAACGACAGAATAGGATAGCTATATCGCTAGCACGTAAGCTATACGCACAATAGTTAACAAAACCACACTGGTGTATCATGGACGATGGAACACGTAAAAACGGACTTCAAACATATCCGGGAAACCAGTATGTGACTGCGAAAGACAAGTGCGATGTTTCAGAGTCCCTCAAGAAGCAGAAAGTGTCGAAGTTCCCAAAGAAATTCATGATTTGACAGGCAATTTGTTCGTGCGGGAAACAGAGCAAGTCTTTCGTAACAATTACAACTGTAAATGGCCAAGTCTATATGAATGAGTGCCTGAAGAAACGATTGCTTCCGTTTCTCAAATCACGCAACATTCCTACAATTTTGTAGCTGGATCTAGCCTCTTGTCACTACTCCAAGGATGTTCTGGAGTGGTACAAGACGAATAGGGTTAATTCAGTGCCGAAAGAACCTCAATCCCCCAAACACACCAAAAATACATTCCCTGAACATTCCATGATAATCGGTTGAGAGACTTATTTTTGGCGAGTATTTCTAAGTGTTGCAATTTAACTGTGGACACCCTTTATTAAATTTTAGGATACGAATATCTCGAAAATAACAACAGTGGGCAATTTATGAATTATTAGCGTTTTTATTGTAAATTAAATGTATTTAAATATTTACATTCAATTGATAAAACAGCAAAAAAAGGTTATCTTCCATTTAATTCCACTTAATTAATTTCCATTCATTAGTCATTCCCACTAAAGAACTTATCAAAATCTAACCCCCTTAAGTACTCATCCCCTAGGTATAAAAGTCAAGATCACAGGTATATAAATGAAACTACCTGTGATCTTGACTTTTATACCTAGGGGATGAGTACTTAAGGGGGTTAGATTTTGATAAGTTCTTTAGTGGTGACACTGATGAAGACTGCACATTGTAGTCGAAATACGTATCTGTCATGGATACCAAAATTAATTAAGTGGAATTAAATGGAAGATAACCTTTTTTTGCTGTTTTATTAAAGCATTCCGCTAACAACCCAATTTCATTACTTCATTCAATTGATGATTAACTGTAGGCAGAATTTGCCAAAATGCCACATTTTTGAAAAAAATCATAGCTTTTTGATCATGAACCGTCCAACTTAAACACATTGTTACCTGAGTTTCAATTTTATAATAAAAAATATATTCAATTTGAGTTATTAAGGAAATATTAATGTGTAAAATGGCATATTGGGCAGTAATAAACAACTCTGACAAATTACAAGTAATTCTAAAAATTGCGTGGAACTTCACATTTGTGGTTGTTACTAATTTAGAAGTCAACTAGAAACCTATCCCGAGCAAAGTCCAGCATCAAAATGACAGCAAATTGATATCAAGTTTAGATATCAACATCAAACTGAAATCATAATTTGATTTCAGTTTAAACAATTGAAATTTGATATAGGTATTAGGATTTTGTTTTCATTTTGCTGTACCTTTGTTCTTCAGAAATTTGTTGTTGCGGTTTTGTTTTCATTGCCTTAGCATAACATCAAATTGAATACTTGTTTTGTTATCACCAGGAAAAATGGATATCAAATTTTGTTTTCAGTTTGCTCTCAATGATAGCAAATGTCACAGGAAGATTTTTTTGCTCTTAATTTTGATATTTTAACCGTTAAAACGACCAAAACGACGGCAACCTGAGTAATCATTATCAGCGAAATCACAACATCAAATTTAGATTTCAATTTGATCTCAGACTTTGCTCGGGATACCATTCAAATGGAGTCAAAGGCTTGTTTGTAGGTTTCTTCGAAAAAAATTGAAAAATTGTTGAACAAAAACTGTCGCACTGTTAACTTCTTTTCCCTATTTTTATTTTTTGTCAGCTACAGTTCAAGAACTGTCATAAAGTCGGCAAAACGTACATACATCCTGGTAGAATTTTTCAAACTGTTCTTAGTTCTAAATACCGAACTGATTCGTGATGAGGCTGTACATGTTTTTGTAAACAAACAGATCAATTGCCGATTTCTCACGAATAAAAGCTGAATCTTGCAACAAACTATACCAAATGGTAGAGGAATCGTTCCTTAACCTGAATGTGTTGTTAGTATCCTAGGTTGAGCTTTTATTCAAAAGAAATTAGTGTAAAAATATCAGCAAAGTTTATCGAGATTTGGCAAACAAAATTGAGTGTGATGTGATGTGATTACCAAATTAACATTTTAAGTTTTATGAAATACTACAAAGCCACTATAAAACAACATTCATAAAACCCTGGTCCAGACTGCTTTGCCATTGATGCATCCACCAAAACCTCATTGATGCTGGAATCTGTTTAGTTGACCCACCCTGGAGATGGTTGTACAATAAACGCATTAAGATCCATTTTAAAATCGTATTTAAGCTACAATAAAAGCTATTTGGCAACAATTAAAACCATTATCCAAGCCATTTACCCTAGCTGCTTGCTAAGTTCACTAGAAAAACAACAATCAAGATAAAAAAGGAATCATAAATACCATCCGATCATTATTTTACATTAAGAATAAAAAATATTCTTCAGAACGATCATTAAGCTTAGCCGAGATTTTTTGTTTCTCGTGATTTTTGCATTCTAAATATTTTCTAATTGCTAAATTAACTAAAATAAAATTATATCCAAGGAAATAAAGATTGAAAATCGAAGATTGTAAAAAAAACAAACAAAATAATTGCAATATGGTAGAGGCATAAAAGTTGATTTTCATGGGCCATTTGTGAAAAAGTTATTTTGCTTTCAAGAAATCCTTCACAAATTCATAAGGTTTTGAATTGGCTTTTATGAAGAAAACTTGTAGACTGAATTGTATTTATCTAAAGCCATTTTGCTTGATCCTAACCCGTTCAGATTTATGGCAGCATTTATGGCGGCAATGTTACCTACAAAATGTTAAACGTCAAAGTTTGTTTATCTTTCGATAGTTGCGCTGTGCGATTCAGCGATCTTCCAGCTGGGGTGGGACGTGCTGTCAAATAAGCCTACT